GTTTTGGACTTAGGGTGTAGGGGTTTAGGGGTTTTGGATTTAGGGTTTCGGGGTTCTGGACTTTGGGTTTAAGGTTTAGGGGTTTTGGATTTAGGGTTTAGGGTTTAGAGGTTTTGGATTTAGGGTTTAGGGTTTAGAGGTTTTGGGTTTAGGGGCTTTGGGTTTGGGGTTTAGGGTTTATGGAACCACTTGGCTGCAAACAAGCGGGCAAAAAACACATGTCAAAGCGACCCAACCAAAAAAAAATGCTAAGCGACCCCCAAAAATGTTGGCTAAGCGACCCCTTTCCAAACATGGGGTTTGATGTTGCTTTGAGGGAAGGCACCTCGCTGCGTGTCCTCTCCCTGAAGACACGCTCCCTTGAGCCAACGGACCTCTGCTGGTCAAGTCCAGAAATGGGGATCGCAGAAATCGAAAGATATTGCACTGTGCGCTACATAGAGTGAAACGAAATCTTGCAAGTAGTCTTCCGATTACATACCATACTCATACTCTATGGCGATCATTGCCTGACAGGTTGCGCTAAGCCACCGGCATCTCAATTCGCAACAGGAAAGTGCGAAGAGCTGACTCCTGCGTAGCAAAGCATGCACCGATGCAGAAGTTCGGATGCAGCAGGGTGAAGCGTGATTACAGTGCCTTGGTAACAGAGCCTGCCCCTAATGACAAAGAACCCGTCGCAAGCGCAGGGGGACGCCCATTCAGAATATGTGACATCGCTCGCTACGGATGCTGCGATGCGGTTCTCATTGCTCAGCATGACTTCCACCAGAACACTGGTCTAAAAGCTGGGGACCCGCTGGAATCCGAGTACGACTTCATGATGGCAATGCTTCACAACTCCTCCAAACGCAGCAGTGTGGCAGCTGCCGTCAGTGATTCATCGCCTCAAGGCTCCATGGCAACTGGAGGTCTGAAATCTCATTGCACATCACAATTAATCTGACGGCTGTGCAGTGACATGTCATGCTAAATGATGTAGAACAGTGCTTGCACTGGTCCTCCTGCTGAACAACAAGAGCAGTAGCAAGAGAAACATTCATGTCAGACGCATCACACCGTCCGTCTCCAAGCGCATCCGCACCCAGACCGAAATAACAATCATCTTCAGGAGCGTTAAACAGATTTGTGAACGGTAACTAGAAGTGCAAATGCCGCAAGAAGCGCAGGTGCAAAGGCACTCTTGCCCTTTTGAAAATCGGAATTATTCATGTTTTTGTTCTTGGGCTCACAACAATCCCAGCTTGCTAAGTGGCAGAGGCGATAGTCCAAACCGCGAAAGTAGACGCTTCGTGTGAGAGTGATGTGGGGATGAGAGGGTGCAATAGTTCAGACAGGTGTTTGACAGATGAACGTCGCAACATTCTTGTCCCAGCCTCGTGACTGCAGAACACATGCCCCTAGGGACTAGAAGTGAAAAAATGCATGCTGTAAGAGTTTGAGCTCATACTACACCACCACACCCACCCCCACCCCCGCCGCCGCCGCCGCCCCCGCCACCACCACCACCACCACCACCACCACCACCACCACTACTACGGCTACCACTGCTGCCGCTGCCCACATCTCATCACAATCACAGCAAGCAGCCCTACCCGAGAATTAGCTCCAGAACAACCAACCCCCAGAGTGGCGCGCTCTTTACTTCTACGGGGTGCCACTTGCTTTATACTTTCCACTGAAACGAAGCACTACACATTTTACAGCATGCCTGAATCTAATGATGCCAAGCTGCCCAGATCCGGATCGGAGAGGACAGCAACAGCCGCGACTACACGGCAGCATTCCGCTACCTCGCAGGCTTTTGGGGTTCAGAAACAAGAAATTTAGACATCTGACGTAGGAGCGCATGAGAAGCCCGGATCTGAGGTCTTCAATTCCAGCTTGTTGGGGTGGTGGGGTTGAGGGATTCAGAGCGGTGCAAGGTCTAGGTTGGAAATTCAGAATTCGGTAGTTGGCGGACGCATGGCTTCGTTTCTCATATCAATGTATCCGATAACTGGACGTCCCCCAAGCCCTCAATAAAGGCGCAAAGAGTAAACCAACCACTGCATTCTATTTAGCTCTTTGGAGGCTTCCAAAAGCCACATGAACCCTAGACCCTTAACCACATCTTTAAGAAGCCGGGCCTCTGGGATCTTCATGCCTGTGGCAACCAGTCCTTGCAGCAGAGCCTCCGACGACCGGGCTTCAAACCACAGAGACCACACCAACTGTATAGAACTAATTGCATCCGACATCACTATCCTCCTTAGAATCTTGCTGTGGCATGCTCAGCTGGCCTCAAACCAGTCCAAACAAGCGTCTTTCGGAGGCCCATCTTGCAACCTGCCATAAAGGGAGGCCAAAGGATTGAAAAGCGTCAGAAGTGCCCCTACCTTGTGGATGCATTCATCAAAGTACGGGCAGCGCTTGCCTGGAGTAGGCTGGGCTTTCGTGCGGCAGCTGTGAAAGAGGTAATAACCAACTTTTCGCGCGCTTTTCTGAGACTGCCGCCAGTTCTTTCCATGACTTGTCCAGCAAGAGTCTATCCCACAAAGGCCTTGCAAGATGCCAGATTGGACATTCCAAGACTTCCAACATGACGCCACACCTTTGGACCTTCGAGCGTATTCCCCCAGCTGAGTTCCACGCCCAGATGCTCCCTGCAGGTTACAGTGATGAGACAAATGCCGAGCGAAAACACAGCAACATAGCTGTCCACATCAGGTCTATTATCGCATGGCACCTGTGAGGACATGGCTTGCAGCGCAGCTCTGAGCAGGTAGAAGATGTGATACCTCTGCTTGTTGTTGTTGGCACACACGAGTGATACCCGCACTCGGATCTGCAGGATGTGTCTCCGTCAAGTCAGTTGTCGGGTCATTGACGCAAGGGACACAACTTGGCGCAGAACGTTCTCTCTCCGTCGGGGCGTTCACCAACAACGCGAGATGCCTGCAACAGTAGGGTCTGAGTCTGCCTTTCCTGCGGGCCGTTTGACGACACGACGACACATTACATTCAGGCAGCACACCATTGTCGAATGAATACTATACTTGTGACATGCTTACACTGCTAAGCACTCCTCCAGCATGTAGGGCTTCAAGGTGGCCCCCACCACTTCACCAGATGTGGCCAAATGTACCTGCCGTATGCTACATGCAACATCAAGCTAGTCCTTGCAAGGCGAACGGAAGTACGCTGCTCGTTACGGAAGGTCGGGAAGCCCTATGTGGCAATGGACGCTAAGGGGTTCCCGGCACGACACAAGAACTTCGATGATTCAGCGTGATGCTTGGCAAGCCCTGAAGAAGGAAACAGCACAAGACAGGGCTTGCCTCGATAAACTTGCCAAACCGGCTGGAGTTGGCATTTTGTCGAGTATGGGCGTTCCCAAAGGCCTACCGGCGCACTCCGACACTTAAGGCAACAAAAATTGTCCACCACGATTCGACGATTCATGACCGGCCTCCAGCACCGGCGTACTCCGTAAAAGCCGGTCACGAACATCGGCTGTCACAGGATGTCCTCAAAATCATTCTTTCTGGCTCTTCTGTAGAGAGGATTGGGTTTTGATGCACACTTCGAGTCACGTGGTGTCTGGCATTGCAAAGCACATGCATTCTCAAGGCATACATTGTATGTCACCAGGATGTACTACCAAGGCTTGCAAGGAAAAGAGGAGCAGACTTTGAACCGCTGTCTAGTCAATATAGTCTGGGCTACAGTGTCCGTAGTGCAGCAGGTGCACGATTCCGATTTGGTTCAAGCCTCCGAGTTACGTGGAGAAAAAACTTGCAAAGAAGCCTGAAGAGGCACACAACACTTTGGTTGTGTGGCAGCCTATGTTGGACGATCAAATGACAGCGGCAAGCCGAAACTATGATCATTCGTTTGCAGGGAAATGCAGCAAAGCCCGGGAATCAACAAAGAGCTTGTAAATTCTCACCACAAGAAGTCATGCTTCATGCCAATAGTTGTAGCAAAAGGCGCGGAGTATGAGGACCCGTTCATCCGTTCATCCATAAGAGACAGAATGACAAGGCAAGAGCAAACCTTCCACCATTTTGTCGAACATGCTACACATGGTGACAACTGGAGCACATTCCTTGAACAAAACAAGAGAGCACGCATCCGAGTGCGATTGGACATCAGGCGGGGTCCCTTCCTCGCTCCTCTTTCTTTGGAGGATCATGCTAAGGGAGACAGACACCTTGCCGAGATCCCCGAAACCCAATAAATCCGAAACCTGACACACAAAATCCAGCCCATGATTAGAAGAAGCGGTCTGAGCGCAAGACGTTTTGCCAGAAATGCAAGCACAGCTCGAGTCGCCTGACCCAAATTGATTCTCAGATGAGATTTTATACTTATGCATACAGAGAAAATGGTCTGGAGTTAGAACAGCTGTCGTACTACTTGTAGTAATGAGGACGGATGAGAAACGCTCAGCAGCTGAAGCCAGAGAAGGGAGCCACCCGCTCAGTACACATCCCCACACAGAACAGATATTCCTTGAACAAACATCATCACATGTCACTCGCTCCGAACTGTCACTAAGAGAACAGATAAAACCTTCATTTCCCCGAAGAGAACAAATAAAACCTTGAGCAAATATCGCAAGTCACCCGCTGGATAAACTTCTCAAAAAATAAAACCGAGAACATGTCCCCGCTTTCTACATTTGCCCAAAAAGAATGGATAAAACCTTGAACAAACATTATCGCATGCCACCCGCTCGACACACTTTCCCAAAGACAACCGACGAAACCTTCAAGAGCCATTCTCAGAATGTGGTCATTCATCACAACCAAGCACCCTTCAGTGAATCCCAGGCTTGCCCACGTCGCGTTTTTTCAGATGCCAAGATCCCAAGTGGAAGCGTTGCCTACAGCATCTGCAACCCAAGGAACTGCTTGAGAGTTCTTAGAATGCAAGGGGTGGAATGTACAGGACTATACTAAGGTCTTGGAGGACTCTGGCTGTCATTCAGACCCCCTTGCAGTGAAGTCCGGAACTCATTCCTCCGGATCTTCAAACTTCTCTGCAACTTCACGCGTCAGTGTCTCCAGCTCAGACACCATGAACTCCGACGCAATACCTGGTGAAATCGGAATCAAGAAAACTTCCGCTTATACTCCCATTTTCTTCAAACGACACACTCAAAACAAACTGCCCTCCTGGATTCAGCCACCTCTCCGCAAGTCGAAGGATGACTCAATGAGCAGTCGATCTGCACGGCGCTCCTTTGTCATTTCCAAGAAGGAAAAGAAGGACTGAGCTTGAGGATCCCAGCACAGCCAGACTTCGCTCTAAAACACTTCCAAGGTTCCATCTTGGCCACAGGAAAATGACCTGAGACACTTATGCTGGCATCACCAGACTCAGGCCAATTCTATACGTACTTTGCCTGCAGGTCACAGAAGGACTGTTCGCAAACATGGCTCACACTTCGAACAAGACGGGCGGCGTGCTTCTGCCACTGCGAGGAAGCTTAATTTCAATGTTGAGCCTTTCAGCAAGTCCTGATGGGAACTGTACTTACTCTGTCGCTGATGAAGCAGTGAGCTAGGGAAAGTCCAACAGCCTCCTCCAACGGGCCTCTCAGCTTTTCCCGAAGCTCCTGCCACCTGAAGGAGCCATGCTGTTCTGGAGACTAGGCTCTCAAACAATCCGGCCTGGTGATGTGCTCAATCTCCCCCTGAAGCGCCTCCAAACTCTTTGGCCCCGTCAGGCTTTGGAAACGCATGCACCTTGGACGAGAATTTTCGCATACCCATTAAGCTGTCTCGAACGTTGTTTGTAAGCAACAGTAAGGCTTCATTTTGGACACTCTTATGGCACTGACGGCAGGCCGTGTCTCTGCGAGCAAGCTTCCGAGACTTACATCAATGCCTGGAAGGCTCTCGAAAAAGGGATAGGAGGCACGTACATGAGGAATAAGTGAGCCCATTCAGGCATTGAGACGATTATGCTGCTGCCACGGAGTCGTAAAATTTGGAAGTCCGCCTGTCCCACTCCATGGCAAATATCATGCTAAGACGGTCCACTTACCAGCAGGACTTCCTCAATGAAGTGGCCTGGCTAATGGCCGGAAGGATTCACATTTGCAGCATCTCGGCTAATAAAATGCAGCCATATGAATTGCAAGGGACAGCATCAAGTCATTAGAGTTAAAAGGAAGGCTAAGCGCCAGATTATTCCAAGTGCTAGCATTACAACAGTAATCTACCCTTTCGTCCCTTGCAGCACCATCGCATAGTTGGATGTGAAAAAATTTTGGGCAGCTGCCCTATCACTTGCGACGGTGCGTGAAACTGGGCTGTAGCCAAGTCCTTCCTCAGCACAGTCCATGGACCATGGTCCTTCACGTTCTCATCCGAACGTCATGTACGCAATCTTTCCGGACTGACAGATGGGGCAGCACCTATCAGAGGCAGTCCATACAATTGTGACTTCTGGAATTCGGTCCTTCGGAAAGCCTCCTCTCAGTCTACCCGCACGTGCAACGCTCATGAGGTGGGGGGGATCTGGGCGGGGGACCCCGCTAATGTCGGGCGCAAGGTAGAAGCTGCACAGCACTCGTTACCTTGTTGTGCCTAAGCCGTAAGCCATGCTGAATCAGGGATACCCCTCACAAAGAGCCCGAGCCCCCTTCCAAGCCACGGCTTCGAATTCAGAAACGAAATCTTTGCTCATCCTGATCGGATCGGACTACAGGCTTTGCATGCCCGCGATAGCTTGAGGCCCCTAACATCAAGGCTTTCACAAACACCCAGTATGAAGCACAAACACTGCAAGGCTAGTGCTCTGCTCAGGGCAGTCCTTCCTGGCATTAAACAGTCTCCTTGCAGGGAACAACTACTTCAGATTGCACACATCAGCCCCTCCCAAAGTTAAGAGCTATGGGCAGGATATTGTCTTTTGAGTTGATCGCCTCTTCTAACGTGGGGCCGACATTTGCCATTGCATATGCAGCAGGGTATTACACGTTTCGGAGCACCGCGAGAAGTCGACACTTACCACAAAGGATGAGTACCACGCTCGTTCTAGGTGATCGACATCTGTTGGCACATACAGCAAAAGCGAGACCTGTTCTCACATGGCAGCTGGATTCCAGGGTCCAGACATCAAACACCACTGGCAACTGGCGCACCAGCAGGCCGCATGTGACGGTGAAACGCCCTTGCAACACATCGTAGGCTCAGAAAGCTGTGGCCGTGTGCTGCAAGTAGTTTTTTCTAGAAAAAAACTAGTAGAAGGTTTGTGATGCAGGGCCTTTGCTGTGGCCACTAGCAGCTTGCACCTTGCATGCAAGTCCCTGGTGGCCACATCACACTCATAGTTACTTGTCCTGGAGCCAACGCATCTCCCGACAGAGGCGTGTGTCGCGGTCTCTGTACTTAGCTGCCTGGTGTCTACCTTATTTGTCTTTAAGCTGAAACTGCGAATCCGAAACCGTAACCCCACCTTCACTTGCGCACTGACTGGGAAGCTCACGCCCAGGATCAAAACACAAATGGACTGGCTGCCCGGTCCAAAAAAATTGCCGTGGTGGTGATAGGCTTTGAGATAAGCTCAGGAAGAGCTCACTTTAGATCCATAGCCTTATCCCTCACGCACGACCCACGACACTGGTCAGATCAAACCAGGCCATGTTCAAAGTTGAAACTTTGGGAGCTTACAGAGGGCTAGCAACGCGTCATCTTCTGCGTATTCCTTGACGACGCTTGGCACGACGATCTTCGTACTTGATGCGTAGTCTTTCCGCTCTTGCCTGGCCGAGACCACAATGGAGATCGTGTACTACAGAGCGACACGGTGCTGTGTGTGTTAATCAAGTCTGTTGGTTTGCTCACATCCCGCTGGCTCCAGTCTTCCTGAAACCCCGAAAAGCTGTCCAAAAGTCTTGAGCATCCATTTCGCACGACTCTGAGTCACTGCGAAGATTGCGAGAGGCATCTGGGCTGCAACACGTGTCATGGTGGTTGCACATGTCCTACGATAGATCTTTGGCAAAAAAGCTGGCCTGCTCCCGCGTACACAGGTGGCAAAACCGGCACGAGTCTCCAAGGCGACACCCTCCGTCCTGCAATCACGTTGCCAGCATTCACTGACTTCATATTGCACCGAAAACTCTCTCAGCTTGTCTGGGCCAAACCGCAAAGCTGAAGGCCCGTATCAAGAGTCAACATTTGTCAGATATGGCTGCCCTGTCCTTCAACTGGAAGAATCCTCAAGCAAGCTTGCGGAAGACTTGCGCAAAAGGGGTTCAACAAGACACTGAAACAGCCTCGTCCCTAAGACACAGTAGTCCAAGGGTCGGCAAGGTTTGCAGGTGCCATTCAGATGGGCAGCCAAACTGTTCTGCGCTGGCTCGGCGGAGTCCTTCAAGCATGCGGTGAAGCACCATGCCTCCTAGGCTTTTTAAATGATGCACCACAATCATGTGCTGTAATCCAGACCCCTGATCCGTATTCAAGAACCACGATGAAGGAACACCCCATTTAACAGGCTCTGTCTTGCCTGCTTTGCCTGCTGAAGCTTTGTATCTACTGCTACCAAAGCCTGGCCGCCACTCCTCCGCCTCAGAGCAACCTGAATCGCTCTCGTCGCCATCCGAGTCCAGACCCGGAACCACTCTGAACTGACAAGGGCAGAGCAAGTCAAAATAAGAAGTAAAGAGCTCAGGGATTCTGGGTTTGGACACATCAACGTGGTCCAAGGCCTGAAAATCCGAGGATGCGGAACTTTCTGAGGTAGCTTGCACTCCAACGTTTAAACCTCAAGGACATGCCGTGAGCTCACACACAGGCCTTCAAAAGAAGGCAGCCCTGGAGGCAAGGGCCCCCCAAAACAGAGCAGGATTACTTGGTAGTGCAGCCCAAGCAACCTCTATCGTTGCTGCTGTCATCTGATCTGCCTGAATTGGTGGAGTTCCGTGATTCTCTCGAGTCACCAGAATCTCCGGAACCACCAGACGCAGCCTAACATCCAGACTGCCACTGAAGCAGCTCTGACGCAATTTTCAAGAAAATTCACACTGCAGTCACTGCACAAACAGGATGGCCTGAGCATCAGAAGTCAAGGGAGGTGTGCGGGTAGCAGAATCGGTGGTGATGCCACAACGGGCACTCTCCGAACTTGTTCCCCGTCCCTTCGATGAGTATCCTGCACCTGAGTTTGGTTTTTTGAAGCTGGGAAGACTTGAGCAGGCAAACGGCAGGCAAAAAGAAGAGAGCCATGAAGACAGAAAGATTAAGCAAATCAAAGAAGCTGAGCCGGCTGGGGATTTAGAGTACGAAGTGGGACACCGCTTATGGCTCAGTTGCGCAAAATATCCAGGCGTCACTTTGCAAAGCTATCGCAGAGAAGCCAAGACAGCGGCCAAACAAAGAGTGGCAGGAACACATAAAAGTTGCACAAGCACAGAGGAGGCGAGGGTGTGTGCAGTGGGGCGCTGCACTCAGATCCTTCTATTCATGTCTTCAAGCAATAACTGAAGCTCATAAATCCTTCATACAGGTTTAGATTCGCAGACGAGGCACTGATCTGCTTGGTTTGCCAGGCATTCTGCTCTAGGTCATCTGATGAGGTTGATAGGTCGGATGAAGTCTGGCAGCAAGCGTAGCGCTTCTATTATGATTGTCATCGCTCTCTGCGCAGTGCTGCGTGTACCAGCGTAGAGCACGGCTGTGGCTTCAGGCTTAGCAGCAACTGCAACAGATTCCAAAATTGTCCATGCTGAAGCGCCTGTGAGCTCAGGAGGCCCGGAAGGCCGGATATCCTGTGCATGACATCCGGAACTTCCATGCTTGCCCGACCTAGGGTTTCAAATGCTTTGGCAGAGACATCTAGGCTATCCCAAAGACTTGCAGGTGAGTTGATAGCCAAGTTACGGCCATTGGATGGCCAGCTTGAGGAACTGCTTTTCCCTGTCGCCTGCTTCACAACAACACGAGCCCATGGAGCTGAAAGGACTCCTGTACTATACAAGCTATACTAAACTCGACCTCGGATGACGGGGCTCAGAGGCAAAGACACCCTCTTGACCACCCTGCATTGCAGCCCTGCCCCTCGCTTCAAAAGCAGCAGGGTTGTTTGGCACAACCCAGGATGCCCAATATAATCTCCAAAAAAGGTGGCCTGGCTCATGTGCACCAGCTCCAGCACGCAGTTGTCAGCAAAGGAGCACGATCGTCGTGAATAATCCCTTGCGAAACAGGGCATTGCACCGCAGAACATACTCTCACACGTCCTGAAGTCAAAAGTACATAGACAAACGACCTGTGTGGTAGTTACTTTAAGATCATGCTGCTGTCGCACCAACGCTTGGACTTCTGGTTGAATGGCTCCTTGCCTGAAATCTGGTGCATCATCAATTGGCCTCAACTGAAGCAATCAAGCAAGTTGCATGCTAGCAGACCACTACAGTAGAGGGTCCAGAGTCTCTTCCTGCAGCTGCTGAATCATGCTGAACCCACATCTTATTTCTTTATCCGGCCGTCAATGCGGGCACGATGCACTGCTTGCAAAGCATCCGCAGACTGGACAAATATCCTTAGTGATTGCAAGCATGATCAAATCACAGCTATATCAGCACAGGGGCTGCGTCTCAGTCTTAACAACCTGTCACATGGGGAGGATCGCTCTGTCCTTGTTGCAAGCAGGAGTCACATGCGTTAGCGCTGGGGATGGCCGAGCCATGGCACCCTGAATTGCAGGGCCAATTCGGCTACCGGCCTCTAATTTCACGACCAGTCTTCACTCATTCGCTGTAGGCCGCAAACGCACGGGCAAGACGCAAGTCAGCTTCATGCTGCAAGCAGTCAAACTTACACACATGTTCAACTTGCAGAAGCAATGCAGGCTCAGGGATGTGCGTACCCGTGAGCTCAAAAGCAGTGGCATCAGCAAAATCACGAGCACGCTGCTTCTGCTGATCCTGGATGCACATGTACGTGACTGGCAAACTGACAAGCCGGATCAGCTTGCGGAGGGCCTGCTAGCCTTCCCTTGCTAGCCTACATAGACTCAATACACATTGCTCCTCCAGCCAATCACGAGTTCGGTGAAGAAGAGCCATGTCAGGTTCTTCTGCACCCGGCGGTGACAAAGCTGCTCTGAGCACATGCCGGTACACCTGCGACGTGTGAAGCTTTAAGAAGGGCTCAGTCTAAAAGAGCGTCATCATGGCCTGCTCCGCTCCCAGCAAGAACTCCTGCTAACAGAAGGCAGCAAAAGCAGCAAGCTGGGACGCGGGAAAAGCCAGGCGAAGCCTTTGCGCAGTCCTGTGACGTGTTCCACCGTCGGACCAAGTCAAGTCCTTCCCCGCTGAACTCGGCACCGTAAAACCAGTGCCGCAAACGTACAAATCCCACCTGAGCTGAAAATCCACAGAAACAGAGTTGGATTCACTGATATGACAAGATGATGCATGGAATGACTGTAGGAAGACGTGAGAACATTTGCCAAGCCAGCCACTAGCATGGGCGATATAGCTTGCAAGATGCGAGAGGAATGACCTTAGCAAATGCCAGCTACTGCAGCTTTCAGCTCTGAGCGCAGCTCCCTTTCATCAAAATGTTTGCGACATCAAGGGTACAAACTCACGGCATCCACGAAGGCTGCCGTCTGCAAATGCTCCTGCGCGGTAGGCCCAAAGTCACCAACACTTGCCAAGCAGCTGAACCACTGCGGCAAACAAAGCTTTTCCAAACTGCAGCGATCCTTTGTTGGAATTGATAATTAATAGGTGGCACTGCAAGCTAGGCCCGGCCAGACGGGGTAATAGATTGCAAAGGAGGTAGAACACATTGTTACAAGTTAGGCAACAAAGGAGAGATCAAAGCAGCAAAGAGTGTCATAGAGCTTTGCTTGCCTGTGCAGTACTCATGAAGCCGTCTTTTCTCTCAGGGCATACGCTGCTGGACGCTGAAAGCAACCGGAGTCTCACCGATGATACATCATTCTGGAACATTCCGTGAATGCCTGCTAGGTTCTCTCTGCTTGCTAGTACACCTCCGAAGCCAAGCGACAGCTGAAGAGAAAACTCGCAAGCCCTTGATCCGGATGCTCTGCCTCTGTGTGCTCGAGCCGCGGCAGCCGTCTGGCCGCCCATTGCCAAAGCCGTTGGGAGCTCATGTCTTACGACTATTGGTTGCTCTTGCGGTTGGGGGGTCCAAATGGTGCCTAGGTGTTCCAAATGCAAGGGCTATGCACCGATCCAGAGCAACTTGGTTTTGGTCTTGCTTCCTCACGGAGTAACATGGACACATGTGCGTTCTTACCTTAACAAGCATGGCTATGGCGGCAAAACACCCACGGCTTCAGATCTCATGACTCTGTGCCTTGCCTAAAGGTGCTGCTCTGAACTTCAGAAGATGCGCAGAAGTGCCTCAGTCTTCCCAGCTCCGCTCTCACCCGTGATGAGCAAGGCTTGCCTGAAGCATCATGCACGCAAGACTTGGAGCCAACTGCCGCGAGGCACAAGTGCAGGCTGCATTCCAGAAAAAGAAGCCCTTACACTGACATACACGGAGAGCTGACGACTGACGACTCATGGCCTCGTCCCGGGCGCAGACAAGGACTGCTGGACCACTGAATACAGGTGCGGAGCCTGACAAGAGCCATAGGAAATGCAGTGTATTGATTATCCATCGTGAACTGCAGCACATGGCGCAAACAGCGCTGTAGAAGTTAGCTGATAATATTGTTGTTTGTCGTTTTGTGAGCTGCGAGCACCCGGAACCCTTAAGGCAGAACACCATGGTAGAAAGCTTTCCGTGGCGCCTGTGGAGGACGGCTGGAGCGCGCTGCCATCTCCTGGCTCAGAAGTTTCTTGAACAGCACGAACAGAACAGCTCCGCACTCCTTCCAGGACCCGGCGAAGTCGTGTTCCAATGAAACCCGAAACCTGAAGGACCTCTATCCTGCTTCCGCCTTGCCTCAGGAAAGACCTATTCTTCTCATCCAGCTGCAAGAGAGCAGGCACTGAGGCCTCGCTAAAGGCTCCAACGTCGGAATAGGGGTTCACGGAAACCAAGACATCACCAAGCCAGGTGTAGATTTGCCGTCTTTCATACCTGCGCCGCAGATGCCGGTAGCAGAACTGCTGAAAGCACGGCTGAAAAAGATCTGCCATGATTCGGCATTTAACTTCAAGACAAAACGGACACATCATGAAATGCCCTCCTTCTACTTATTCAGCAGCTTTCCCGTTGGTCTGGCCTGGCCCACAAACCACGCAGGAGCTCGGCATCACTGAAATCCTGGAGCTTCTCAGCCGAAATCACTGTTTGATATTGACTGTAATCTGCATTTTTTGGTGGACTTCCGGCTTCGAATCAGTTACCCCGAAGCAACAGCTCTGTACGTGCCTGACAATAAACGCATCGCGAAAACTTTGATATCATGAAAATATGGAATGTTGTGGCTGTTGCAAATGCTTCACCTGTCAACTCTTCTCAGCGGAGCGAATGATACCTTGACCTAGCGCCAGCATGCCGGCTTTATGGTCTGATTTTGCCAGGTGGGCTAGATCACACAAAACAAATGATGAAAGAAAATATGCGCTCCTCCAAACACAGGAGATCTGCAGGCACTTGTTCGTCGGCTTCACCGCAACCTGACGCAGAACAAGCAACCCAGACGTCTGCGTTTGGTTTCCTCAGGTTTCTTTTTCATGGCTCACACGTCAAAAAAGTTCGCGGTTGTTCGCCTGAAGAATGCTCTGCACCCTTTGAACCTTAGCCAGTCACAATCAGCGCAATGTTTCGGTCCAAATGCAGGTCATCAAACATATTCAGTCTTGGACAACGCACAGCTCGAAATTGCGAGCTGGGCTGTCCCAAATGAGCAGCATCAATCCCTGCAAACTCTGCCAACATGCTCCCGACCAAGCCAAACGTGTGGCATTACAGGAGCCTCTGGCCACACCAGCAGTCGCTGACCTGGAACCACATGCACAACTTGCAACATCAAGTTGAGCTTTTTGCGATCCAGCGTTTTTGCGCAAAGCTATGGCTCACACATTGCGCGGACCAGTGTTGCGGGAAGGTGTTACACCAAGCGGTGCATCTCTGAATGAACCAAACACTACATGATTCACAAATGGCCCGCACATGAAACGACAAGTGCCTATGCAACCTTTTTCGAATTGTAAAGGTGGAAGCCTTTTCGTGTGTGACATCAACCCGGAGCAGTGCCATGTTGATGTCGGTCGCCAAAATCTGACCACAAACGCCGAATGTGCCATTGGTACGCCGTATCCGTAATCATTGACAGATCACAGCGAACAGCTGACCCCTTCGTGGGCACGACGCTAAAATCAACATTTACAGCGCTTCATAAGCCCTAGGGATCATCTTGACATGCTTGCGTATTTCATTCCAATTACAACTGCAAAATGTGCTAAAGACTTCCACGATTTGCGTACCCTTTGATGCTGACCGTTTGGGGTTCTAGAAGTTTCTTGAAGAAAGTGTGCGTCTAATGGTTACCAACGTGAGATTTGATGTGCTAGCAAAAGGACATCATGTGCAGTTGCATGATTTTTTGTTCCTATAGCTGAAAATCACCCAAACAACAGTCTGCAGACCAAACTCTCATTTTGAGACTTCCACAAACACCGTAACCCACGTTACTGAAAATCAAAACTACAAAGCTCCATACAGACCAAAACGAAAAGGTATGAATCTTGAAGCTGTCTAGGCACCTGAACCTTTGCAATTTGAAGATGCTTGTCAAAATCAAAATTAAGGCTTTGAAGGTTTCCTTATCTCCGTTTGGTGTTTCACGTTGCGGACAACTCAGCTGAAACATGGACAAACTTGACGGAAAAATTTGGAAGATCGGGCTTCCAAGTAATTATGCGTCACTCACTCACTCAACAGCAATAGTGCTGGAAGCGCACTTGGGTCGATGTCTTTTGCAGCCGCGGCTGAGCATAGTGTCAAAATTTGGATTATGAGGTCCGTTCAGGCACCGAGATTCCCGCATCACGATCCCCTGAATCTGTTAGCAAGGAGCCTCAACCTTCCCTTGGGTGGGTTGGGCGGGGACCAAAAAATATTTCAAGCTCCTTCCCAGAACCACAACTGCAAACCCGGATCAACTGAATCCTACAATCTTTGTTTGACATGGGGACCGCAAATCCGTGAACCGCACATGTGCGTGTGTGCGTCTGCACAAGCTCAACACGATTGCAAAAGTTAAGAGGACCAGCTACAGGAAAAAAAGTATTTCAATCACAAATCACCAAGAAAAGTTTGCAACCACAAGTTTCACGGTATAACTTTGTTTCTGAAATGCTGGGAAATAAGGATCTATCAATCGTGATTGAGGATGTTCAATTTTCCCTCTGGCATTTCAGGTTCCAAACAACTCAGCTGACACATGGGCAAACTTGACATTCGATTTTCACCACAATGCCCAGGAACCACCTCCATCCAATCCTCCTCATAGAAATTCGGAAAAATTTGGAAGATCGTATTTCCAAGTATGAGTCACTCACTCACTCAATCAACAGCAGTAGTGCAGGAAGCGCACGTGGGTCGATGTTTTGCAGCCGCAGCTGAGCATGGTGTCATAACTTGGATTCTGAGGTCCGTTCAGGCACCGAGATTCCCGCATCACGATCCCCCGAATCTCTTAGCAAGGAGCCTCAACCCCCCCGCTGTGAGATGTAACCTGTGCGTTACTGCCCTCGCAACAGTACAGACAGCAAGGCGGTCAGG